AGAGGTGTAGGTGTCACGGACACCCTTACTTGAGCATCAGAGGTGTTTGTGGGGTCTCATGCTCAAACGAGGCTGGAGGAGCGTTGTAGTTGAGATAACACAAACCACAGCTGCACTGTGGGATTTTTCTGACCGACCAGCCGGTTGGTTTTCTTCAAGCAAACTCAAGTTACGCTGCGATCTTGAGTTATCTGTCCCCTGCCTAACTCCACCCTGGGCACAGTCCAGCCCTAAGTGCTGTACTAGACCACTGATGTTGCTGATTCACTCCATAACCTGTAGACGGTAAATAGGAGGAAAGCTGAAGAAGAAGGAATAGCAGTTGAACAGGGCCTTTACCTTTGAGATACTATTAGAGATTTTGTGGCTATCTCTGAACCTCTTATCTTCTCAAATGGCTCTGCCCTTTATTCTCATACCTACAGACATAAAAGGTCTGATCTTCCGCAGTTTGTGCTCTTACCCTATTTGAAATTGCTCTCAACGGTCTGTCATAAAAAGCACTCATAGCTCTGGCTAGCTGCAGGATCAGTTCTCTAAATGTTCATTAAGCCAGCAGACAGAGGCCACTTGAGATTACTCTTGAATAACCGTAGCCGTAAAGTTTACATATGCTTTTAATCCTGGCACAGGGTACTTTGACACTGCTCCAGAATTTGTTAGTCATTGGCTGACTTGTGGCTATCTTGGGGCTGTTGAAGGGGGGATTTCTCTTCTCTTCTTTTTTTTTTTTGCCTTTTTTTTTTTTTGCCCCAAAGCATGGAATATATTGCCACAGTGCAGCCAAATTTTTATTTGCTTTAACTGTTAAAGCCTAAGAAGAGGATACATGGCTGACTTATTTTTATTTTCTTTTTTCTTTTTTTTGTTTGAATCCATTATGCTCCAGTGTGCTGCCTAAGAGTTGATCAGAATTTCTAGCATTATTTTTCAACCTAAGAATAAAAAGCCAATTACATGTAACAAAACCAACCTGGCAAGTTGACTGTGGCATCTGCCTTACATAAGGAGGAAAGGAGTTTCTAGGCAAGACGCCTCAACACGTATCCTTTCTAACAAGGACACTGGTTATTAACACGTGCTGCTCAGCTGTCTATCTCAGATGTCTAATGTGCTGTCTGGTGACAAAAACTAAGTAGGAGCAGGTAAAGCTGGTTAACCACAAGGAATCTCTTTGTAGTCTAAGGAGCGGGCATCAGAAAAGCATTTTAACTTAGCAGCATTAAAAGATACCTTTAAGTTTTGCAAACCAAATACTTATCACTCTTTGGCCAGAGCTTCCACAAATTTAGAACTTCTTGTCTCTCTTAAAAATTTTATTGTAAATTTTTGCATGTGAGGAAGCTACAAAATAGTAAATGAAACGGCATGTAGCTGAGCAACTCTTAAAACTGCCAAATGGCAAAATTGTCATCATCTCTACCTTGTAGATGGCATGCCTAAAGTAAGGAGCTGCTTATAGCAGTGTAGGGGAAAACACCAGCAGCCCACCAGACCTTCAGCCTGATGCTCTCTGCAGCCCAGAAAGGGGTTGCACAGGCTGCGAGAGCAGAACTTTTTCTCAGCTTTGCAGGTTCTCTGCTGTTGGACAGAAGTTGGTTGGCAGGCTGGTGACCTGCGGTGCTCCTGCTTTTGCTGTGCTGTGTAATTCTGTGGATAAGCAGAACACTCCAGTGTCTAGGGCTGTACTTCGATCTGCAGAAGTTTAATCAGGCTTTCTCTGTGTGTTTGTTAAGAAAATTGAATAGACATTTTAAAAACACAGCAGTGTGCAATGAGGAAAATTATCAGCAAGCTCTCAGCAGCTGAGTGCGGTGGGTTTTTGCAGTTTTGCCATTAAGAAAGTAATGTCACAGCATTGATGTCCATTTATTTGACCAGAACTACCTGAAGCCTTTAAGACAGTTTGCTCTGTGTGAGCTGAATTTTGGACTTAAATCCCATGGCCATATTCCAGAGAATTACAGAGGCAATAAACTAGCATGAGGCAAACGAACTAGGACTATAGAAGCTAGGTTTGTTTGAGGTACAATGTATGTATTTCAGCATCAAGCTGTAAGACTGTAATATGGGGTCGAAGGAACTTAGGGAGTTTCATCTTTCCATTCACAGGCATAAAAGTGTTGCAAGGTAACATACTGGGATTTTTTTTTTTTTTTTCCTCCTTTCAGCTTGTGCATTTGATTTGGTAGCATTCTAGTTTTGGTCCAAACTTTCAGTTGTCAAATTTTCAGTTGTCAAACATAAGCTTTAAATGGAGGTTATGGATATCCAATGATCTCTTCTGTGTTACTGAAATATGAACCGGAGAAAATACAGAAAACAACCAAAATGAAAGGAGAGTTGCCAGCATTATGTGGACATTCGGAATGAAGTCAGGGAGTTCACGCTGGCCAGGGGCCAGGCCTGAGGTTGCGTGCGTATTGTTATTTTGGAGTGAGGCAGTCCCTCAGTGTACAGGAAATCCATTGTCAGTGTTTGCTCTGCAAAAGACTTGACGCAAAAGCTGTAAGTGAAATAAGCACATACCCTGTGGTCAAATCCATCAGTAACATAAGCCTCTGTTACTCTCTGTGTTGAAACGCTATTTCCCAAAGCAGTGAAAAGTCAGCCCGTCTCGAAGTACCGAGGGGAAGGGAGCGTGCACTCCTATTTATCTTTTCATTTCTGAGGAGGGAGTTAGAATTAATGTGGCTGCAACTAGTACAGTTGGATAACATATATCAGTAACTTCTGATACACCTTGTGTGTCGAACGCATTAACTGAAACTAGGGTAACAACGGCTCTTACGCTTGGAGCACACATTGTAGGGTGTGCAAAGCAGCCAGCAGACTTTTTTTCCTCCACAGCTGAACAGCGAGTACTTTCATCTTGTAGGGAAGATGCAATATGGGTAGCATCCCAATACTCAGTGGACACTTGTGAAAGCAAAGCTGTAGTGAGTCAAGGTTGAAATTGTACGGAGACGATTCAGGCAGGCTTTGCTTGGTTTTAATGCGTGAAGTTTGAGTTGATTGCGTACCCCCTCAGGATACTTTGGCTTTAGCAGAGCTACATTCTTTTACTTTTCCCCAAACAGTAAATCCATAAATTGAAAACAAATATACAGGACAGCTCTAACACAAGAGGTAACTCGCCCATCCCATGACAGCTTAAGCCGAAGCCCAAGATGACAAATCACAGGAAAAAGCAGCATCATTAAAAGCTTGGTTGCATTTTTTAGAGACAAGTTTTTTTCTTCACAATAGGATTTTTTGGTTTGTGTCTTTCCTCAAGTTGCAAATAAGCTGGAAATAAAATTTCCGTACATCCTTCAGTGGGGAATCCGCAGTTCCCTTGAGTCACAACCAAGCGGAGGTGGTTTCTGAAGGCAAGGACCACGAAACCATAGAGAGCAATAGAGGCTTTGGTGTTTTTGTAACTTGAATAGTACCAATCTGAGCACATGACTTAAGGATCAACAAAAGTTGATTGAATTTTCTGGAGCTGAGCAGCCTTTCAATTAGAAAGGCACTTGCTGTGGAATAAGAGCACAGTCATGTGGAACACAGTCTGTTTTCTTAAGTGGGTGGACACATCTTAAGAGACTCTGATTAGTGCTGGTATTTGCTGTACCTCTATACAAATTGCACTGGAGTCACGTGAAGCCTGGGGTCAGTTACGTTGTGTACAGATTACTGCCGCAGGCCACAACTGTTAATTGATGAAATGAGGCCGATATTGGAGAAATATGCCTGATGTGGCAGCTTCCCAGCCAAGTATGTCATACAAGAGAAAAAGGCAGAGACAGTAAACTTGTGTGACTCCTGGATGTGTTCAATATCGTCTGCATGTGAGGAGAGGGGCTTGCTTTAAGCTATAAAATTGTTTAAAGTGTGAAGAAACGGCAGGCGTGCTTACCAGATCTCTTAAATTGATGTAGCGAGCCCTGTTCTGTTGAGCTGCCTTCTGCTAGCTTTCGCTTTGAGCGTTATGTCCT